TTAGAGATTTTCCAGCAGTAGCTTAATGTCTGTAAAGAGGAGAGGAAGAGGAGTTAAAATTGCCACCAGTTTCCTTTCTGCTTACTATAAAAATTGATGTCATTGACAGAAATACTGAAGCACATGGGGAGGGCAGTTGGGGAACTCTGACAATCGGAAGTAAGTTTTAAAGTTATAGACAAAGAATCATAATTTCACAATCATCACATGGAAAATGAAGGTCTACGAGGCTGCTTCTGCACAAATATGACTGATTTTTTTTGTAGTTGTTTGTTTGTTTTTAGTAGTTTTATTCATAGTAGCCGAAAAAAAATCCAGAAGCATCCCAGATGTCCCTCAATGGATGAATAGTTAAACTGTGAAACATCACACCATGGGAAGGAACAAACCATTGATACACAAAAACCTTGTATTAGAAAGATGTGGGTTCTTGTATTAGTTCATAGTGAGACCTCGGACAAGTCATTTAACGTTTCTTATTTTTTGTTTCTTTACCTATGAAATAGGGATTAAGAATAATTTTTATGACTGTAGAATTGTTTAGGGAATTTCATATTTTGCATGTAAAGCACTCAGTATACCTGGCATATATAAACAGTGTATAAATACTAGCAATAATTTACCTTCAAAGAGTAAGCCAGCTTGCTTCTCTGTTCAATCTCAAAGCACTTTTCCAACTCTCATTTTTTCCAAAGCCATGAGAACCCACTGCCGTCAGTGCCCCATGTTTAATTATAAGAATCATACCAATAGCAAATTGTTTGGGGGCATTCCTATATGCCAGGTGCCACACTAGACCTTTCACCTCTATCTGTTTTTTTTTTTTTTTTTTTAATTGTGTTTTAGGTGAAAGTTTACATCTCAAGTTAATTTCACATAACAAAAATTTATACACATATTGTTCTGTGACATGAGTTGCAATCCCCACAATGTGACAGCACACTCCACCTTTCCACCCTGGGTTCCCTGTGTCCATTTAACCAGTTCCTGTCCCTCTCTGCCTTCTCATCCTGCCTCTGGACAGGAGCCGCCCATTTGGTGTCGTGTATCTGAACTCGTGTATCTGATTGAACTAAGAAGCACACTCTTCACCAGTATTTTATGTTTTATAGTCCTCTCTATAGAGTGGGCCTCGGCAATAGTTTCAGTTCTGGGTTAACAGAGTGTCCGGGGCCGTAGTTTCAGGGGTTCCTCCAGTCTCTGTCAGACCATTAAGTCTGGTCTTTTTACATGAATTTGAGGTCTGCTCCGCACTTTTCTCCGGCTCTGTCTGGGACTCTGTGTTGTGTTCCCTGTCAGGGCAGTCATTGGTCACCTCTGTCTCATTTAAATGAGGTGTGTGCAAGTCTTGCTGGGAAAAGATACTGGGTCCCTGCCTTTTGCAGAGGCCACTTGAAGGCAAAATGACAGCCACCCCTCCATGTCGTTGAGTCACAAGAGCAGTGGCTGCAGCAGATGCCATTTCTGGAGGGCTTGTCACAAGTGAAGCTAGGCACTGTTCCAAGCGGATTACAAATGTGATCTTACGGAATCTTTCTCCCAACCCTGGCGGGGAGGGAATGATATTTCCTGATTTCACAGAATGAGAACCTGAGGTTTAGAGAAGATAAGTGATTTACTGTGAAAATGGTAGCTGTTTTGGATCAGGTAGACTTTGATTTACATACCACACATTTCTGAGGCTGATGCTTACAATGAAAAATCCCCTTGCAGATTGCAAAGATGCCTTACTTTGGGAAATCAGTAGTCTCGCCCCTCAATAATCTTTGGCAGTCCAGTTCCTCATGCCCACTTCCCCAGATCTTGGCATTTTGGAGCTGAAAGGGACAGTGGGACAACTTATTGTTTAAAAATTAAGAAATTGAGACACAGAGAAGTTAAGGGAACACCTCCAGGTCATACAGTCTGACAGCAGCAGAGCTGGAACTGGAACCCCAGTTCTTTGACTTTCAGAACGATGATCCAGTTTCTTAGCCAAATGAGTGAGGGATCTATGACTCTGAGTCTTACTAAAAGTGAGCAGGCGCATTATCTTTTGAGGTAGACTTGCTCTACTTTTTTGCATACCTGAATATCTTGCTGATTTTCTACAGAAATCAAACAAATGGATGTATTGTGAGCTGTTAGAAGCTCATGGTCTACTCTGACCACCCCTACCTGGATTTAGCCAATCATTCTTATTAAATGCATTTTTTTTTTTTTTTTTTTTTTTTTGCACCCTAAGCTACTCTGAGGAAGGAGTCTCTGGGTCATTAAGTGCTGGACTGCTAACCAAAAGATTGGCAGTTCAGACCCACCCAGAGATGCCTTGGAAGTAAGGCCTGCTTCTGAAAGCTCACAATCTGAAAACTCTATGGAACAGTCCTACTCAGCCCACGTGGAATCGCCATGAGTCGGAATTGACTCGACAGCAACTAACAACTCTTCTTCGGAACCCCTTGCTGCAAAGAATTCCGCATCCTATTCAGTTTCAGGGTTCTAAAACCCCTTTAAACCAATACTTTATGGTGAAGAAGATCAAACATAACATCTGAATTTCCTAGATTGACATTGTTTTTCACTTAAAACAATATAGATTAACCAGAGTTTAGACTAAAGTACTTTTTAAAACTCTGGATTACTTTGTTTCAGTATTATCAAATAATTAACCACTGGGCTAGCTTTGTGCTCTTGGTTGTTGTTCAGCCGTTTATTTATAGATAGAGAGGCCATAATAAAACACTTTATTGGGCAAGATTTATTTCAAGGCTACCAGTGCCATTACTGAAGAGACTGAGCCCAGAGTGTGTAGTGTTTTTCACACAAGTTAAGGTTCAAGAACTTGGAAAATATTATGAATACTGTTCTTTGTTTATTTACAAAGTAATCATAGATTTTAGGATGCATAGGTACATTCATAGTCATCAGTTGGAATGTGTGGTTTTTTATTTGTTTGGGTTTTAAATTTTGTAGTGAGCAAAATCCATATTCAGTACAAAGTCATTTCCATATTAGAACATGTTTGTTGTTTGCAAAACAATTTGAGAGGAGTGAGAATAGTATATAAATGTGTACTTTTCTTCTTTTCCTAAGTTTATTTTCCCTTCTGCTGTTTTACTAAATCATACCTGGGCTATAAACACTGAAGTTTTAAATCCTGTAGTGGTGTTTTTCCAGCAGTGTATTCATTTTAAATCATTCGACAGAATGTCCCAGTGAGATTGTCTTAAAGGACTTTTATCTTTGCTCAGTGATTAGGGCATGGAAGATACAAGAGCTCTAAACCTGGTTTTCATTTTGAACTAATAAAATATTTCTCTGTCTCTCTCTTTTTGGTGTTATTTACCACAGAATCCTTTCTTTGTATATATGATTCACAGTGAAATGACTCTTAACAATCTTCTCAGTCTTACCATGCTAAGCAATTTTTTAAAACTGCCATATTGCTTGCATCTTGAACTTGGATTTGAAAGGTCTGTTTTTGAAAGACAAGCCTCAATAAATATATATGAAAATATTTTTGAAATTAATTTTATGCTTCCAACTACTATCATGAAGTTTGTTAACCTCAAACTATGTAGATTGAGTTCACTTTCTTTACAGCCCTTTTACGTGATGACTTTTACAATTTCACTTTAGCATCAGGCGTTACTCTAAGTGCCAGAATTGCTCTTGAGTTACCATGAGAAGGTCCAATTGTTAGTTTTACATAGGAGAAGTTTTTTCACTCAGTCTTAGCATGTTAGAATTTACCGATGCATACTCTTTTAGATGGGATAGAGTGCTGACCATTTTGTGCATATGAGTCAGACATTTAAATTCATCCATTCATCATCAGATTTTCTCTCTGTGCCTGCTGTGTGCCAGGCCCGGTGCTAGGGGTGGAGAGTATAGTGGGAGGACCTATCAGAACAAGGAATTATAGATGTTTAGTGTTAGTATAGGGCAGAACTTGAGCTGCCTGTGTGCACTCTGAGGGTAGAAAGGGCTTCATGTTTACACCGGAAGATCAGAATTTGGAGCATGTAAACATGAGTCGTTTTCAAGAAATTTTGTAGCATTTGAACACAAAAAATTGGTGAACATGGCTTTCTTTTTTTACTTGATTTGCATGCTTTTTTTCTCCAACTGTGGAAAAGAAGTGATTAAACATGAAAAAAAAAAGTACATTTGATAGAAACTCTCTCAGTTTTAAATTCAAAGGCAATAGGCATGTCCCTCACCAACCTTTCTTTAAAAAACAGAATGTTAGTGCCACCAGTGAAAGATTGAAATCAGCTATTTTTGCATAATCTCTGTTGTCCGTTTCACAAGGGGACATAAAGATGACTTTTCCATCCCGTTGCCTTTTGACAAGCATTATATATCAAATACAGAGAAAATTGATTAAGTGTAGGGGGAAATTTATATAAATTAAATTCAAAACCATTTTCTGTTCTTCATAATAAAATGATTGCTCAAAGAATTCCGTCTGATGACTGTTGAAAGCTCACTGCAGTTTATGATATAACTGATAAAATCTGCATCCTTGGCCTTCCAACAACCTTTATACCAGCAGATGGTGGGCGTAAAGATGTCATTCATCATTTATTTACAATGGGCTTTATTTATTCTAGTGTCAACAGCTGCCCCAGGGAGTGGGTTATTGAATTCAAATGTGAAGCTCTGGGTTATTTGCTTCCTTTCAAATTTGTCTTCAGAGCTTAGTTGCTAGGAGTCCATTCTGTGCTCCAATAATGATTCATGTATTGTGAAGCCATTCAGTAAATTGGGTTGTCAGGGATTGCCAAAAAGGGCTTAGAGGTCTTGTTCCTGGGGGGGTGGGAGGGGGTGTCTGTATGTGTGTCTGGTTGATGGGAGCAATAGTGGTATTATGTAACTTTCTCATAAAGCTGGTGAAGTTTTCTTCTTTTCCTTTATGTACTCCTTCCCTACCTGCCCACTTTCTTCGTATGAATCATATGAAAAATGTGGAGGAGAGTTTACTAAAAGAAGACTCTCAACCTTTTCTTTCCTAACAGGCAGGGCAGGAGTCCTTTCGCTCCATCACAAGGTCGTATTACAGAGGTGCAGCAGGTGCTTTACTAGTGTATGATATTACAAGGTGAGAACCTGGAAATATTTCACTACAGTGGTTAATGTAAAGAATTTTTCGAAGTAATTATGATTACCAGCACTGATTATATAGCTTTGCCTTTTAGGCTCTGGCTGTTTACCTTGAAAACGTGTGTTTCTTGAATCTAAATTTACTACAGCAATCTGCAACTAAATTCTTATATGAGTAAGCACCCCCAGTTTTATCAGTTTGGTATTACTATTTATACATCGGAATATTCTAGAGTGAGGTTACATTTAATTTCTAAACTGAAGTGTAATCAGTGAACTGTAGACCCGAGTTCTGTACTTGAAAGCTGTTTCTCATTACATCAGTAGATATGGCTAAGAGTACAGTTATCTTTAATGGAATATATATCATTTGTATATACCCTTTAGGGGAAATACTTTTAAAATAGTAATCAAATTATCATTTATGTTTAGGAGAGATACATTCAACCACTTGACAACCTGGTTAGAAGATGCACGCCAGCATTCCAATTCCAACATGGTCATTATGCTTATTGGAAATAAAAGGTAAAAAGACTGAAATTTAGCGTTTACAGTGCATTAATGATGAAGACTGGATTACTGGTTATGTAACTACTTTTCTACTTTTTCTTCAAGAAAAACTTACATATTGTCCAAATGTAAGTTGCTGGTTTCTTAAATTATAAAATTTTTGAAAATTCTAACATATTTCTTTGGCTTTTAAAATACAGATAATAATCATTAGAATTATTGTAATTTTTTTCAGAATTGTACTTCAAAAAAATCTGAGTTTTATTTGATTAGTAATTTGAAATGAAACCCACTGATTTAGTTGGTGACTTAAATATCCAAATTATTTTAAATATTTGCATTAGAAATAAGTATCTGTGCAGAACTCAGAAAAATGTTCTCCCTTTTTCATGGCTTAAAGTTCATTGTATGAATTAATACAGTACATAGATTAAGCAGGTGTATTTCTGCTTAAAGTCCTGAAACACTTTTAATATTATTTGTTAGTTATCACAGTAGTTTTAATCATATACCTACGTCTTTATTTATCTCGTTAATTAATGAAAGAGCCATTAAGATATCACGACTGGTTCAAAAGAGAACTCAGAGTACCACATGTTTATAATCATGTAAGGAATGTTGAAATGCGTTTACAAATGGGTGTAAAACCAGTCAATATATACAGGACGATAATTGTATTCCACTGGACAGTTTGCATTTCTGTGGCCAGAAGATAGTTGCATTAGTATCTTTTCTACAAGTTAATTTCTGTCTCTTACAAGTCTTTCAAAATTTGTAGGATGCAGCCACAGCAATGCTTGAGGAAGATTATAGCACTAGACATTTATATTAGGTAAAAGTTTGAAGTCAATAACCTAAGCTTCTGTCTTAAGTAATTAGAAAGATAATAGCAAATTAAACTCACACAATTCTGTAGGCTAAAAGTCCAAATCAGGATCTTAGCCGTGTTGATTCCTTCCTTATAGGTCGTCCCACGCTTTCCTTGTTTCCTTGGTTTGTAGAGGATCCTCGCAAGGGGTCTGTGTTCGCAGTGTTTAGGCAGTCTGATCTGTGTTCAGTCTACTCTTTTCCTAACTGAGAAGTGATTAGGTTTAGGACACACCCTGTACTGACATAACATAACAAAGAAAATCCTATTTCCAAACAGGATTACATCCACAGGTATAGGGGTTAGGTTTCCACTACATGTTTTTTGGGGGACATAATTCAGTTCATAACAAATGGTTTAGAAAAGAATGATATTTAAGTAATAGGAACAACTTAAATGGAATCCAGGAGTAAAAATTCAAGACAACAATATGATTCCATGCCTGGAAAGCTAAGGAAATGACCAAAGAAGAGTGAAGCTTAGTCTGAGCTGGTGGTAAAAAAGATCATGAATAAACTGCTAAACCCAACCAAATCCATTGCGGTGGAGTTGATTCCTGCTCACAGTGACCCTGTAGGACAGAGAAAAACTGCCCCATATGGTTTCTAAGGCTGTAAATCTTTATGAAGCCGACTGCCACATATTTCTCCCGAGGATCTGTTGGTGGCTTTGAACTGCTGACCTTTCAGTTAGTAGCCAAGCACTTAACCACTGCACCACCAGGGCTAGTTTCTGTTTTTTGAATAATCTGTTAAACATCTACATCCTTAAACCCTCTTTGCTATGATTGGATTTGCAAATACAAACATCAGCTAGAAATACTGATAGTGAAAAACTGGAAATAACTTAAAATGTCCAAAAATAGAGGATTGTTTACGTAAAATATGGCATAAGCATAAAATGGGGTGGAAGGCAGTTAAAGTGTTAAAGTGTCTTGAAAAATATGTATAATTGAAAACTAACTTCCTCTTGAGAATATTTGTCAAATAAGGGGGCTGATTTGCAGGCGCATATTCCTGCATCCCTATTGCTAGCATCCCCCCTCCCCCCCATTTTTTAATTCCTGCTAGAATGTCAGCCCTATGAAGCCAGAGATTTTTGTCTGTTTTGTTGAGTAATCTATCTCCAGATCCAGGAAAGGGTTTGGCACATGAGAAATCCTTAGATAATAGTTGGATAAATTATCCTTGTCCAGTTATGCTATAATTTTTGCAAACTTCAAGTTTACCTACTTCATGCTGCTTTTCATATTTTCATCTTACCCCTAATATTTTGTAGCACTGTCACAGAAATGATTTTTTTTCCCTCTCTCTGAGGTTGTAAAGTCTGTAAGTTCATTTCTGATTTTAACTTAAGTCGTTTCTCTTGCTCAGTCAGTATAGCTGAAAGTTTTGTCAATTTTATTGATTTTTTTTCCAAAGAGCCAACTTTTGGTTTTGTTAATTTTCCCTATTGTTTTTCTATCCTCTATTTTAGTTTGTGTCCACTCTAAAAAAACAAAAAATTTATTTTGTTTTTGTTTTTATTTTCCCCCCTCTGCTAGTTTTGTGTTTGTACTGCTTTTTTTCTAGTTCAAAAAAGTGTAAACTTAGGTTATTGATTTGAGTTCGTTCTTCTTATTTATTGATTGATTGATTGATTGTGCTTTAGGTGACAGTTTACAGTTCCAGTTAATTTCTCATACAAAAATTTTTACACATGGTTTTGTGACATTAGTTGCTGTCGCCACAATGTAACAGCACACTCCCCCTTTCCAGCCTGGGTTCCCTATGTCCATTCAGCCAGTTCCTGTCCCTTCTTGCCTTCTCATCCTGTCTCTGGACAGGAGCTGCCCATTTGGTCTAGTGTATCTGATTGAACTAAGAAGCACATTCCTTACGTGTATTATTTTTTGTTTTCTAGTCCTGCCTAATTTTTGTCTGAAGAGTGGGTTTCGGAAATGGTTTTAGTTCTGGATTAACAGAGTATCCAGGGACCATAGTTTCGAGGGTTTGTCCAGTCTCTGTCAGACCATCAAGTCTGATCTTTTTACACGAATTTGAGTTCTGCTTTGCACTTTTCTCCTGCTTCATCCAGGACTCTCTGTTGTGTTCCCTGTTGGGGCAGTCATTGGTGGCATCCGGGCACTGTCTAGTTCTTCCGGTCTCAGGCTGATGGAGTCTCTGGTTTATGTGGAACGTTAGTCTCTTGGGCTTGTATTTTCCTTGTGTCTTTGGTGTTCTTCATTTCCCCTTGCTCCAAGTGGATTGGGACCGATTGATGCATCTTAGATGGCTGCTCGCAAGCTTTTAAGACCCCAGACACCACTCATCAAAATGGGATGCAGAACATTTTCTTAATAAACTTTGTTGTGCCAGTTGACCTAGATGTCCCCTGAAATTATGGTCCTCAGGCCCCAGCCACCTTCATTGTATTTTATATCAAACTTTCTTTCAAATATTTCAGATTTTTACGAGCAGGGTATAAGCATTAGTACCACCACTTAATGTTTAGATGACATTTTATAAACTGTAAAATATTTTAAAGTATCAATAACAGTGAAGGTTATAAAACAGTCACCGGTATCACTCACAGAAGTTCCAATTTACAGAAACAACAATGACTGTTAATGACCTGCTATATTGCATAGTATAAGCATAACATCTGCCTCTTCTAGCTAGTAGAGCCCCACCTTGGACAGGTTCTGGCTGAGCCCACTCCTCCCATGGGCTCCCAGTGGTGCCTGTTCCACTGGTGGTGGCCCCATTACTCCCTGTGTTCTGCCTACAGCCCCAGCCTGAGCTTTTTTTTTTTTTTGTAATTGTTGTTTAAATGAAGTTTACATTTCAAGTTAGTCTCCCATACAAAAATTTATACATACATTGTTATGTGACCCTAATTGCTCTCCCCATACTGCGACAGTACACTCCTCCTTTCCACCCCTGATTCCCCATGTC